AGACTGAAGAGTTGGAAAGTTTCCCTGAATTAGACCAGGGCAGGTGTATTTGTTCTGAATCTATCATGGAGTCTCAGTTGTGAAAACTTTCTTATGTCATCATTAATAAGCTCAGATCTAACAAGAATGATCTAACAGAGTTGTTGAGATAAGATAAGTGAAAACAGCAATGCTGGTTTTATTTAGGTTTGTTTTTTTGTTTTTTGGGGGGGATGGGTGGGGGGGAGTTGATTTAACTTAACTTAAAAGCCAGGAAAGGTACAAGTATAACAGAAAGTTCCCATGATTTAAACATTAAAAAAACAAATGCAACTACCCTCACAAAGCAGTCCAAATCACCATCCCTCCACTATCTAATTTATATGAGTTTGTGTTTTATTCTATCATAAATGTTAACGTTGCACATGTTACCTGAGGCTAATGTGCTCTGAGGTGTAACTTTTAAACTTTTCTGAAAAGCCTCTGACCTGCTCCAAACAACACAACATCTGTACAAACAGCAGAGCTCAAATCAATGTTTTCATAAGTACAGTGGCAACGCAGCACTGCTACAAATGATCTTAAAGGGACGTTTTGTTGTTTTGGTAGTAGAGTTCTGCTGCGACACTTTGAGTAGTTAATAACTTACCTACAGTAAATGAATCTGCCAGCATCTTCACTGTGTGTCAACAGACTAACGACCAGTCGGATTGGCCAAGAGAGTTTGAGTCATCTCAAAAAAATCCCAGCTCCGCCATGGTTCATTCAAATATTACTTCGTAAACCTTTAAACTTGTTTTATTTAATTTTGAGCATAGAAATGCTAAATACCACAGTTTGGTTTTGGAGTTGTTCTAATTTTGATCTTCAGGTTCCTTTTCCCTACCAGCTAATATCTTTCTAGCAGAGACTTTTGAAAGGTCAAAACTGTTTAATCCTTTTTGTGGGGTTTTTAAAAGAAACAAAACAATCTGGTAGTCCATGTTTTCACTTACATATCAAGCACTTATTTTCCAAAACTGAAACTCACTGTATATAATATCTCATAATGTTTTAGTCCCACAGAGAAGAGTGTCAGTGATTTTAAAATGCTCTTAATATGTGTAGGAAAAACAGTCTGGGTGTAATTTGATTGGTTTAAGTTATTTTTCAATGGCATAATTCACTTTGACACAAAACTCTTAGCAAAGCCAGCCAATGTATTAGCTTAAAAGCCAATCTCTGTTTCATAAAGGGCAAAACAATCACACACAGAGTTACTTACAGAAGATAAGATGATTACCGCTTATAAACTCTCAACAAAACCCCCACTTAAAAAGCCCAAGCATTCAATTCAATTCCTATCAGGGCAGAATCTGTGTACAGAGCTGTCGATTCTTTCTGTTCAGTTTTGTTTCCTGGGTCACCTCAGCTTCTTCTTCTTCATCTTAAGACACCACAAGGTCCTGGTGAGCCAATACTCGAAGGAGCTCAAACTTTGTTTTTACGATGACTGGAACAGAATTGAATCATCTATAGAATTTCTAGAGTCAGAACAATAAAAAGGTGAAGCTTCTGGCTTTAGATCTTTTTTCTATGAAATTTTGTGCATTAAAAAACAGTCAAGCAGCCAAATTGTCTAAAGTTTTGTTGCCTTGTGGACTTGGATGCACTTTAGCTGTGATGCACAGCAAAGAGAGTTTGCACAATCTAGGCTATATATGTGTACTTATTTATTTATTAGTAAGTAAACCCTTTCACTTCAGCCACATGCAGGAAGAACTTTCTTGTCTGCAATAAGCCTTCGCATTTATCAATCAACCGTCTTGTTTCTAGACAGATTTGGCTTTCATTGTGTAGCGTCTGTAAGCACCTCTGTTTTTATTGCTTTATTTGGTCGGGTCGCCTGGGCAACCGTGAAGGTAAACATCCAACTACGTGAAGATAATCAGCTCAAGCACAGTTTCCAGACCGAGTATACAGCTTCATTATCTCTGATGAAAGTGCTTATTCACACCTGATGGGGATGGGAGGAGTGAGATGGGGGGGGAGTGGGGAGGGGAATCAGAAAGGGCCAAAGTAGCAAAGTCAGACAGAAAGAGATTCATGTCCAGTGGGCTAAATGTCATATGGCAAAGCTCAATATTGGTTAATAAATGATGGGGACAAGGTACAGAGCCTGAAAAGAGAAGTAAAACTCTAATAAATTACCTTTATCTCCCTAATGAGACAACACTAATTTTGGTCTCAAGGTCTGGCAGAAGCAAGCTGATTTATCACATGCATTAGACATTGTGGGAATTAGTCTAATTACCACTGGGAGGGAGAGCTGATTTTCACTTCACAGAAAGCTCATTGTACACCCGGATCATTTATCACAGCCTCGGCCACCGGGCCGCTCTCAAGGCCTGGTGGGAAAGGTGGTGCCCATCCACAATGTCCCTGAAAGCTTTGTTGTGTGTGTGTGTGTGTGTGTGTGTGTGTGTGTGTGTGTGTGTGTGTGTGTGTGTGTGTGTGTGTGTGTGTGTGTGTGTGTGTGTGTGTCACAAGACGACACAGGAACACGCTCAAACACGCCCACGCACACACATACCATCAACGCTGACTGAATCGTGGCAAAATCGTCGCACCTGGAGAGTACCAGTGACTGAGAATCAAATCATCTGGAGAAGCAGCAAACGTTTTCAGCATGACAAACTGGAGAAGCTCCAGAAATGTGCTCCCTAATCACTCGACAGCAGTGTGAAATATCTTATCGCCGTGTTAAGGAAATCAGCGGGAATCTGTGACCTGAAGGGTGAATATTGCACCGGGGCATACAAAGAGCACAAGAGCTTACCTGGATTAGTTTAAGGACAGGGCAAGCCGTCTCGGAGCTGTGGTAATGATTGAAAAATATGCCTGTAATTGCTGATAAGCTCTTTAATGTTTCAGTAAACTCCTGTTGGCCGCTAAGTTTACTGACGCATAACTCGTCGATAAACTCTAGCTTTGTAGTCGACGGCCGGCGGCCCCTTTGAACCAATTGTCGGTCTCACGGTCAGAAGGGGTGTGAGCGCTGAATTTTCAGAGCGCTGAAAAAAGTTCAAGAGGGCATGGGCATGTAATGGCTTGTGATAGAGGAAGGAAGAAGGTGGGAAGGAAAAAAAAGTTCAGATCAAAGTAAAAAATAAAAACGAACTAACCGGGAATAGTGAGCTAATTTATATGATGACCTACAGAGGTTAATATTTTATTCTTTGCTCCAAATTCACCTGTAAACACAATCAAAGGTGAATCAAACTGGTTCCTCTGGATGCTTCTACCAAATCACACTGGAAAACCAAACGTTGAACTGACTGCCACAAGACTGAAAACTCTCACTTTACAAGGTGCAGTGACTCACTCAACATAACGTAAGGTTTAAAAAGGCAAAAGTTTACAGTTAATATCGATGGAGCAACACTGAATAGCACAATGTGCCTGGACTTTAACGCTCCATCAACAAAGTAACCTCATGGCAGAAACCCAATTTCTCAACTTAAGTTCATGTGAAAAATAGCTGTTTGGCTAATTCCGGCACATTTGCTGAAATATTACGTAATGTGCGTTGTCCCTGCCAAATAAATGGATGAAAGTTCTTATATTTTGTGGACCACCCATTCACTGTCCCTTAACTTTGTGGGTGTTTTGTTGGGCGAAAATCCTCTGGACAATGATTGCAAAATGAAGCCAAGACATGAGAAATGGTAAGAACAGCGTGTGTCGCGTTTTACCTGTGTGAAGAAATCAGACCATTTATGAAAACTGTTGCATTCAGGACATGTTTTCAGCATTGCAATCTAGTGTGTTCACACATACTACATCTAAACATCTTGCAATGATAATAAAGCTGTGAGGATAAAGAGCCTGTGAAAGGAGCAAAAAAAAAAAAAAACCCAAACGGTAAGTGTGCAAGTTTTATAAGGTTATACCCATTATTCATGTTCCACCCTTTTTTGGGACAAACTGAAAGAAAAAAGAATCAATCTCTGTCCTACCGTCACATTTACGAACCAGTATTAAAGACTCTAACTGGGATATCTGGTCATAGGGAGCTGATAGAAAGAGTGCAGGTGGAGTCGGACGTGGAGGAGCAAAAATGATTACATTTAACAAACAAAACTGATCCAAACATTTTCAGACTGTAGATTTGTGTTTTAGAACACAGTTTTTTATCTTTTATTTTATACAAATATGCAGAGCAGATGCCTACATGATTCACCCATAAAGGTCCCTTGCATGTTTTGAAAGACTGCATGTGTAATTCAGTCACTGACAATCTATGCTTAAGGTCAGCTGTCCTTTCATGCAGCTGACCTTTAATGAAGGAATTCTGTAATATTTTTTTTCCAAACATATGTTTAACTCGTGCAAAATTGATTAAATGTGCAATATATATATATATATATATATATATATATATATATATATATATATTAGAAAATTTTTCAAAGCAGGCTGCAGACATTTCCGACACAAATCCTTGCGCGAAGGAGCTTCAGGGATGTTTGATGAGAATTTGTCAGTGATGCACCATCAAGAAACATTTAAGGCATCCATCACCTTCTGTCATTTCCCCAGCAACCACTGAATGAGACTCATCTTTCGCTGACGCCCTTTGACTTTTTCAGTCTTAAAATGGCATTAGTCCACATTAAGCGGGAGGCCAATTAACTTAAGGCCTCCTCTGCCAAGTCATTACAGTTTTATACGATTTGTGTGCAATTCTTGATCGTAAACTTTAATGGAAATGGTATGCCCTTAGCATGAGACGAGGCAAAGCGTTCGTATTAAAAACCTAAATGATGGACAGATTGTTTTCTGAGCAGTCCGAAGGCCCGTTTGATGCTGAATCTGCTGCTGAGGAGGATTTCCGCAGCATCTTTTCTTTGTGCCGAGTCGCTCCAATCTTGGGAGAGTCCGACTGAACATATAAGTGCCCAATCTTCTAATGTAACCCCCGCGCTTCAATACAGTTGAAGGTGTTTGCAGGCGGGACAAGGGTTGAACATTACCTCACTCTGAATGCTTTCTGGGGGGGAGAAACGAGCGAGTAATTAGCTGATTAGAGGCCCGTCGGAGCAGCTCCGCTTCCAGCCAATCCCAGCTCGCTCCGGCCCCCCCGAGGTGGAGAGGGGCGAATGGTGGCGAGCCGCATACCTTTGTAGTTTTAATGGTGCAGAGCGATATGTGTGAAGTGCGCTTAAGAAGAAAGGATGACTGGATGCAAGTGTCATAAAACAGCGTTGAAATAGTGATAACTCGTTAATGAATGTTTTTTTTTTCTTTCTTTTTCCCCTGCTCGCTCCCAGACTAATTGTATGAAAACGTCTCACTGAGGAGGCTTCACTGTCTGCGTGCTGACGCACAGCGCAGGTGCGCACCTTCTCAGCTTGTTTTCGTCAAAGGCTTCAAAGTTTCACCACTTACTTAGGACGACATGGAAAAGTCCAAAAACTTCAGAATCGACGCTCTCCTCGCCGATGAGACCCACCGTGGCGGTCGAGACGTTTCCCCGGGCCTGAGCAGCGACAGCCCCGGGAGCAGCCCGGTCTCTTGCCATCGCGCAGACACCCCATCCCCGCGGAGCGCTCACCTTCAGACGGGAATAATCCCCAAACCGAGCGTCCTAAATTTCCCGCACCCAGGCCTGGCTTGTCTGACACCGGGCGCCATTCCCGGTATGTACCCGGCACCGATGTATCCACTGAGCGCTCTGGGAGGGCAGCACCCAGCTTTCGCATACACCGGCTTCACGCAGCTGACACAGGGCTACCCGGAGCACCTGAAGGCGGCTGCCATGGCCGGATCTCTGCCCCTGGAACACTGGATCCGAGCCGGGATCATGATGCCGCGGATGCCGGATTACACCTGTAAGTGTGAGCAGATTTATTTCCACCCAAAACGTGAATTTTAAAAATTTGAAAAGAAAACAGACAGAAAAGTTCCAAGAAAAACCAAATAGAGGATATTGCTTATAATGTTTCTGAGACATCGGGGATAGTTTATTATTATTATTATTATTATTATTATTATTATTATTATTATTATTATTATTATTATTATTATTATTATTATATGGTTGGGATGTTTTTTCGTTTGGTTTCTTTTTTCTTTTCTTTCCATCTTTTCAAAGCTGCACAATCTACACTTGAAATAAAATAAAATAAAAAATTCTGAATTAATAAATGTTCCTTTTAACCTTTTATTTTTCTTACTTTTTCTTACTGTTTGTTCATAATCCCAGGTCCCTCTTGAAAATGAGATCTGGATCTCAACGGGGTTTACCTGGTTAAATAAAGGAAATAAAAATAATAATACAAATCTTTTGCTATTTCTATTGATTTAGTTTCAAAGAATAATATTTGCACAGTATTTCCTCCAGAGTTTGAAGTTGTAGTGCTCCATCTCTGCAAGCCCCTACATCTCTCGCAGTACAGTGCGTCTCCATTTTTTTATTGCTTATCCTTGTGTCATATTTTTAATTTTGTCTCATTTATTTCTCTATAAACGCCAACAAGATGAAAATTGTCTTTGTGTGACGAAGTGACTATAAACAAACACCTAAAACGTACTGTAGTTCATCAATAAAACCCCAAAAGCCTTCATTGGATTTTCATTAAGTTAATGGCATGCCTGCGTTTTTATGGCCCTTGCGCCAGCTTCTGCTGCGTCCCCCCGTCAACAATAAACTGCAGTGAAGCTATTATAGTTAATGATGGCCACAGAGTGCTGGCATATGTGTCCCTGTTCCCACCCACAGCATCACAGTGAACTTCTCATGTCCTTGGTGTTTTATAATTAAGAGAGGTGTCTGTGTTTGTTCCAAATATTTAGATATATAAAGGAAAATGTAAATGAACCTAAATTTGCTTTGTAACCAACTTCAAATACGCCTTATACCAAAGCTGTTTGCTGCTCTCGAGACAAATAGCAAGAATTTGAAATATGTGACTGACAACTGATGCTCTTCCTCTTCCAGCAGGCCCTCAGTCCGGCCTGTTGGGGAAATGTCGCAGGCCTCGTACGGCCTTCACCAGCCAGCAGCTCCTGGAGCTGGAAAACCAGTTCAAACTGAACAAGTACCTGTCCAGACCCAAGCGCTTCGAGGTGGCCACGTCCCTGATGCTGACCGAGACGCAGGTGAGACGGCATCATCGATCAGGAGCTTTGGCTTCTGAGCTCATCGTGCCTCAGGGTGAAAGTCTTCGAACGCAAACACGTGAAAAGTTCTCGTTCCAGGCTGCTGCGTGTTATTGCCTTTAACGTTGATATGTTGGATTTTTGTGGCTAAATCTCAAGGCTTTCCTACGATTTCTAACGGTTTGTTTTGGCCTGTCACAGCCAGGCCAACCTTTGAACACTGTGCGGAGAAAGAGTAACTGTAAAACCAAATTCATTTACAGCTTTAAAAATCAAAATCAATATATTCTTTTTACCATAAAAGCTTTAAAATATTGCACAGACTTAAAAACAACCAATAATTCACACAAACATGAAACTTTATACACGATTTCAACAAGGACTAGATTGTTCATAAATCCAGTCTGCACTGTCAATGACCTCCAACTCTAGAACCATTCTGCGTCATTTCTTTGCGTATAGGCTTAAAATACATTTTGTATTACATTTTACCAGTGGCAGGGTTAAATGAAGGATAGAACTTTTCTCCAAAGGAGATTTGAGCCAACAGAAATTTTAAAAAAATAATGAAATTACATAAAATAAAATTTATCTCCCAGAAATTCCTTTACAAATTCAATTGTTTGAACTGTTGTCATACAGATCTTATTTTTCGAATGTATTAAAAATATCTATCACGTTCCATTCGCCCCCTGCAGGTCAAGATTTGGTTTCAGAACCGGAGGATGAAGTGGAAGCGCAGCAGGAAAGCAAAGGAGCAAGCATCCGCCTCCAGCAAGGCGGAGGGGGAGCAGCTTAGAGGTGGAGGAAAAGTAACCAGCGACAAAACAGACGAGGCCAGACGAGGTTTAAATGTGGACGGCAGACGGGCAGACTACGGGTTGGAGGATGGAGAGGATGGGGAGGAGGACGACGAGATAGACGAAGAGGAAGAAGAAGAGGAGGAGGACGGGAGCCAGCATGGGTATCGCATCACCGTGAGCAACAAAGTTGAAATATCACGGTCCACAGACTTCTTGCAGCACCGCAGCAAGCTCGGCTACGACCCCCTCAGCCCGTTCTCTGATGATGAGCTGGAGGGGGTTCAGGTAGGAGGAGGAGGAGGAGACCGGAAGATTGGGGCAGGACTGTGAGGAGACCCCAGGAAGACCCTGAATGTTACAGAGATTCTACCAGGACAACTGCTCAAAAAGCAGCTGTTTGTGTTTACTCTAAAAAACAGTTTCCAAATCTGAAAAATATGTATGTTTTCATTTCCATCAAAAAAGTATTTTTTTTTTTTTTTTTTTTTTTTTAAAAAAAAAAAAAAAACAAAAAAATAAAACAAACATTTTTGGCCAAATTAGATTTCGAAAAAAAACCCTTTTTTAATTTAAA